TGTAATGTCAAGCCAAATATGATGGACCCCTTTTATGAGGAACATTTAATTCATGCCCGTAATATAATCGGAGGGTGGACATTCCATGTCGAGAGCCAAACGAAATTGGAAAATTTAACTTAATTTTATATTTATATCAATTTTCTATTACCACTGGATATTGGTCGCACGGGGATTATTTACATTGATTATTTATATAATGTAGATGTTGGCCGACTTAGAACATGAGCTCAAAAACTTTTGCATGGTAGTACGCACCGCTTACCATTCGGGTGTTCGGTCGCAGTCCAAATATGTATCCAAAGGAAAGTAAATGATAATTCTAGCTATCGACAGGAGGGCAAGCAGCTTTCCCGAATTGCCGCGCTTAGAAGGATCCGATAACAGCGAGTCTGAAGATAACGAAGAAAACGAAGTAATGTTCTATGGATATGTTTCGGTCGAAGACAATCGCGCCAATCTTTCCGTCCCGCTACCACCTAGCTGAGAGCTGATTTCATCAAGACGATATTACTTCGTAAAGAAGAAGAAGAATAATAAACAAATAAGCAAGAAGTTCTTAGAGTTCACATACAAATTCAGTGTGAACACCAGTCTGACTCTATTCAATCCATCTGGGTGACATCCTTGTCGCTATAAGTAGCTGGAGACATGAATAATTTATGATGAATGATCCATATGTTATCTCCATAACAGCTATTTCCACAGATCAGGGATCATTTTTTTTGTACAACTATAGAGAATGTCCAAGGACTTCTCCTTGCACATATCAAATTTTCTTGCCCTCGTCTCTTAAATATCCTTAAGACGGAGGGTTACTCAATTGAAACTATTTACGACTTAATCACCTTTGACAGATTCCTATATCCGCTTTGATAAAAGCCACGTCAGGGCTAACAAAGACTGAACTCGGAGAATTCGCTTTGATCAAGGAGTGCTAGCTTCTTCCTTTGAGAAGTTAGCTCAGTCACTTTTTTGCACGAAGAGCAAAGCCATCAAATACTTCTGCAGAGATAATTCTCCTCTGGGACGCAAAGGAATACTTAGTGAAGCTGCTCGCGGAGAAAGCGTATGAAGGTTTCTATGATCCAAAAACTAGAAATAACCAAAAAATAAAAAAAATAAAAATACAAGCTAATAGCTCATAAGAAACAATAGGGAGTTTAAGGGCCCTTCAGCTCTTTATTGTTTGTAAATAATCTACTTTTCTGCCTGTTAGTTTAATATCGAGACAAATATTTGAATTTCAAAATCCGAAACTTGGCAATCTCGTTCTTGGCTTGCCTTTTCAATCTTTTTAAAGCTTCGTAGTTACTTGCACTTTATAAAGCTATACAACAACAAAACATTCTTCATAGGAATGGAAGGGTTAAGGCATAAAACATTGCTCCTTGACTCCTTGATCACGCTATATTTGTTTGCTACAGCCATAATTTTCCTGACACTCTACCCCACTTTTCACACTCACACATACACACATATGCACTTACACATCCTTATGTGATAAAGCATTGCAAGCGAATGTCACTGCAGCTATTTAGCGAAGAAAAAATGTTTTGCTTTTGAAATCAAATTTTTCGTTTTCGTCATGCGAGCGAGCGGGCGTCTGAACGTTCATCCGCTTTTTCACGCTCCTCTGCAACACAGTGCATTTTACAGTTATTTGCTAGCTGCGGGCCATTAGATTGCCAAGGCAATGAGTGAAAAAATTACAGCTCACGCTTGCATGACTCGTACTGACTTTGGGCTCTTCCGTCCGTTTGGTGGTGGCGAGCATTTTGCCATTTCGCTATGGTACACATGCAAATGTGGGGGTGTGTGTGTGTGTGCCTATGCAAATGTGTGTATTTTTTATTTATTCTTTGCTCTGTTCATTTGTTTGTATATTTACTGTTTTTGTTTCGGTGTTTTCCCTTTGCTTTTGTTTATTTTTCTGGTCGCGCTTGTTTGCTTGTTTACTTACATCATTTCAATTCAGTCATTCGTATCTATTTTTAAACATTGCCGCAGCGTTGCAAGGGCTTTTTTCTATGAATATACAAATGCATGTATGTAGTTTCGTGAGTATGCCCACTGTAGTGCATGTAGTGATGTGTACGTGTATTTATAGCTTTATCCTTTATTCGCTCTTTTTGTTCTATCCTTCACTATCTGTGCTGTAACATCTGTTGGTAAACATTTTCGTTGCGGCACTTCTATTTGTTTTGTTGGTTGGCTTGGCAGCGCAGTGCTGCTGCCGCCGCTGCTGCTGCTCTTTGACATACAAAATTGGACAAAAAGGACAGTTAAATGCTGCTTGTAAAGCAGAAATAAAAATATACTAAATGCAAAGGTTTCATTGTGCAGTCGCCAGCCACCAGGCAGTGGCGATGTCCCAAGATCAACACAAATGTTACATATGTTACATATGCATATATATAAATGTATGTTTTCACAGATTTGCATTCGTCTAATTTATTTATTTGTGATGTTGTGATATTTCGTAATTGAGTTTTTTGCTTATCCTTTCATTTAACACACAGCCTTTTCTGCTTTGCTTTTAACTGTATTTTTTCGGTTAGTGTCAATTTCACACATTACAAACAGAAACATGTAATAATAAAACGAAAAAAATATAAATTGAATAACTTTGAATATCTTCGCTTTTAGCTAACTTTTCTCTAAATTTTTAACCTTTACTGTTATTACTGTTATTTATATAAAAGCTGATTTCTTGGATTTAATAATTTTAATGCTTTTGAATTAGTCAAATAAATTTCATTCTTAAAATTTCTTTGAAAAAAAATATTATTTTTAATTATGGTCTTAATGTCTTATATTTCAGATTTACTTTAGATTTTTTATTTCTGTTTTTTGATTTATGAAGAATTTTGCATCGTTTCGTTAATTTCCTTATTTGTTCTCTTTTATATATTTTTTTATATAATTATTTTTATTTCAATTTTGTGTGTTTAAATTTAATTTCCTTTTTTGGTTATTACTCACAATTACTGATTTAAAATAATTAACTTTTTTAATAATATGTTACATATATTGGATGAGTGCATAAGTTCGTGCCCGATTTCAAGTGCAAACTAAAATTGAAATTTTTTGAAGAAAGCGCTTTTATTAATCAATTATGTATTCGCCAACATGTTCAGCAATCCATTCCCAACGTTCAACCAATTTACGGATGCCTAATTCATAGAAATCGCGCGGTTTCTCGTTGAAAAAGGTGTCAAGGTGGTTTTTGACGTCTTCCACATTTTTAAATTTTTTTCCATTCAAATTGTTCTGCAGCGATCGAAACAAATGATAGTCAGAAGGTGAATATGGTAAATGCGGCGTGATTTCCGAATTCATCTCATTCAAGCTCAGAAGGCCGTCCACTGCGAGGTTGATCTTCGAGGTTAAAATCTCCAGAACGAAATTTCGCGAACCATTTCTTTACTGTGCGGAGTGCTGTAGCACGGTCCAAATAAACTTCGCGAATATCTTTAGTTGCAGCGCCTACTGTTTTTCCTTTGCGGAATTCGTATGACATAATATGACGCATATGATCTTTTTCGTTGTCCATCTTCCATGCTGCATCTTCTTTTCACTAAGCAACTCAAATCAAAATGAAGTTATTTTATGCTTGATTTACAGTTCGTACTGTCACCTTTCCAACGATATATAATATGTATATATTTCTTTCACGAGCGCCACTCTCAAACGATTCGAACGGCATCCAGCGGAATCGGGCACGAACATATGCACTCATCCAATATTTATTATTCAAATAATAATTTTTTATTATAAATTTTACCTTATTTTAAATTTATTTCGGTTTAAATGTGTTTTTTTTTATTTTTTATTTTTTCCATTATGAACAGATTTCTTATTTAAAAAAAAATATTTTTTTATTATTATTATTTGTTTTAATTATAATTTCTTTTTTGGAATACATTTAATTATTTTTTTTATTTCTGCATCTCCTCGAATTGTCTAGATTCGAGTTTTTCAGCATACAACACTTCCTATTTCGGTTTGCTATTTCATTTTACCACTTTGACACTTTTGTTTACTCTCAGCATTGCTGCCACCACAAACACGCAGTGCTGTCATGTCGCTCATACGCCGTGTTGCACCTTGTGGCTAAATGCTAAAATGCGTATATGTTTCGTATTGCTTTAAGGGGAAAAATTTTTTCGGGTTTCACATCGCAAAATTGCAAATTTTTTTTACCGCTCCGTCTCTAACTATATTTGAGTTTTTTTTTACTTATTTGTTTTCATTCGAAGCCGGAAGAACTAGAAATTGTATAGCAATAAACCTAAAAAGACCGAGAATACTGAAAAATACAAGTAAGGATGTTCGGGTTTTTTTTTTGCGAAAAGCTTATAATTCCAAACGTTTTTTCTTAAATAAGAAAAGCGAAGGGTAAAAATACCTTTTTAGTATATCCAAAGATTTTTCTTAAAAAGTGCTTAATCCAAACTTTAAAGTTTTCCTTGAATAAAAACTAATTTTTTAAGAGACGAATTTTTTTTTGAAAACCAAACGTTCCTTATTTTAGAAAGATTTTTCTCAGACGTGAAAATTATTATAATTTTCTTTCAAAAAATTTCTAAATGATTTCTTCTTTTTCTTTTTATATTTTTACTGAATAAGGAATTTATTTTTTTCTCGTGAACGGTTTAACAATTTTGTTTTGTTAATATCCCAATCATGCGTTTGGAATTTGGAAATAATTAAGTTTAGTTATTTCGATATATATATATATATATATATATTTATAAACGTAATAAATATTATAGCTAGAATTTTAGGGAAGAAAAAAATTTAATTTGCCAAACATTCAATAGGCAAATTAGAGGTTTTCTCTCACAAAATGGTACATTTGAATCAATTCCTTTCTTCATCTTCTTTCCATATATGCATTTATAATCTGCTCATGTGCCACCAATGGCTGTTTTTAGCTATATTTTTAATATAAATATTTTTAATATAATAATAAATAGCTCCTTTGTGTCACTTACGTTGTAGTTTATCCGTTTGCCGGTGTCCTCTTGATGAAGTTTGCATGGGAATAGACGACTGAACACACAGAGCGCTGCAAAAAAAAAAAAAGATATGGAGAAATTATATTTTCTCAAAATTTATAATTAAAACAAAATAGCTCGCATTTAGAGTGCAACGAGTATAAGAGAAACATTTATATATTTCGCGTTGTATGTGCTAGTAAATTATGCATTTAAATTTACTCAAATGTATTTATGTACCTACAGCTCACCCATACATTGCACCACACGCTTGTTATGGAAATACTCGTACGTATGTGTGTTTGCACACCCTCAGCACACTAATGAGTTTTTATACATTAAATGGGACAACAGGTATAACTATGTAAATATCTACGTACATATGTATGCACGGATATAATAAAATTTATTTCAAAAAGTTGTAATCTCATTCATTACCGTTACATTGTGACACTGAACCGTTGGCAGATATGTGTATGAATGCACACACATAGTCGTTAATATATATAAAGGACACAAAATGATAAATGACTCTGCATTTTCGAGGTGTTGTGGGTGACGGTAGTAAATTATCTAAGCACAGTTGGAGAGAGAGAAGCAGAATTTCCATATTTTTCTATTCTTTTCGCAAATAAATACATAGACGAATTTACCTCTGAGAATACAGAGAATTTGTATGCTGTAAATATATCGGATTAACACAAATTAACTCGATGGCATTCTCAGTTGGATAAATTTGTGTTGAATGCCCCGACTTCGTCGGCATATGATGCTAATAGTAGATTGCTGCAGGATTTTGAATCTTCAGTGTTTGAATAGATACATTTGTGCTGGATTATATAAAAAGGTTTAATGCAGCTCAGGACAATAAATGTTTGTCTGCTGTAAAATTGAAATTGCTTGAAATCATTTTTGAAGTTTTCAATATTAATGAAACAATTATATATTACCAGTTTTAAGCAAAATTTTAAAACATTTTGGGAATATTTAATTTATTTATATTTTAATTCCTTATTTTCTAAAGTTAAACTAAACCCATTTAAGTTTAATTGTGCTTATTAATTTAACTGAATTTTTACTACAAATAAAATTTTTTACTTCCAAATTGGGTAAATCCATGTTGGTTTATTTATTTAAGGTTAACTTAATTTAACTTTGTTTTCGTTCTCGATTTTATTTCTTATAATATTATTTAATATTTATTTCGTTTTATAATACGCTTTATTTTTTTTATTTTTTTTTTACTAAATTTAACAATTTTATTATTTAATTAAATTTGAATTTTTATTTAATTTATTTTTTTTAACTGATTTTTGATTTTGTTTCATGTAACCTTCATTAAAACTTAATTTATTGATTTTAACTTTTATTTGCTCTTTTTTTCTTTATTTGGTTTCGTTCTATTTTATTTCATTTTATATTAATTTTCTTTTATTATACTTACATTTTTGTATATTTTTTTAATTTAAATAAAAAGTTAAATTTAAATAAAGGGACGGTCGCCCCTTGGCCGAGAATGGCCACCTCTCCGGGTGCATTATAAAGTAAAATTCTTCATAGAAATACCAGCATCCGTGGGGAGACGGCTTAGTATAAACTGTAGGTTCCTCCATTTGTAGGAAAAACATTAAGACGCACAACTACAAATATTAGGAGGAGCTCGGCCGTAAATCACTTCAGCGGTTACAAAGCGCCAATTATACATCTATACAAATATATATATATACATAGATATATATATTTTTTGGTTTTAATTCTTATTTTTCATTTTATTCTATTTTCATTTAATTTATTTTCTTACCTGAAAAACGTGCTGCAACTTTAACGGCCACTTGCAACAAGCAGTGTGCCACATAAAATTCGAATTTACATTTATTCGAGTGTTAAGTAAATAACAATGAAGTAGAAAACACGCATTAGTACACACTTTTAGTTTTATTTGTAGTTTTTTGCTGCAATTGGGTCTATTAGAGAGCATGCTTAAGTTGTTGCATACAAAAAGGCGCATTGAGCGTAAGAAAGATCTGAAAACAAAGGCATTCCAGGCATTGTTTGCATTGCTGGCTGTGAAGGGGTATCGTATAGTGTATGTGTAGATGCTTATTCAGTTATTTCTATTAGTGTATAAAATATAGAGATTTAATATGCTGCACAAATAAATACCGTTAGCTATTGTTGCAACATGTTTACTGCATATTATTTGATCTACGATTTGAGCAATTCTCATTCAATAGTGCATTCGGTTGCTTGTTTAATTTCATTGAGTTGTTTTTTACTTTTTTTTAATATTTAATTGAAAACAGCTCTAAGCCAAAAATATATTTAATTTGTACGTGAACAGCTTAGCTTTTGTGAATACACAAAACAATGAAATTCAGGAATTTTCAGTTGATTGTAGAGTAGAATTTAATAAAAAGCGATTGTCGAAATTAAAACTTGATTGAAACTTGAATTGTGTTAAAAAAAGCCAATGTAATGATATTAAATAGCTCAATGAGTTAGAGAAAACCGGTTGGAATTCAAACTTCTTATTTCTATGCTGTAAGTAAATTATTTATTTTTCGTATTTATTTTTATTATTAAGTTTTTTATGAATAATTATGTTAAAAAAATTCATTTAACATTGTTTTTTGTTTCCCGCCATTTCATTTGAAAATTATTTAGGTTCAGAATTTTTTTTTCCAAATTTTATTGGAACTATTTAGTTTTTCGAGTTCCTTTGCTATGTAAATATTTTGCCTTACGTTTTTTTCTCTTCTAATAGATAATTTTCAGTATTGTTTTATTTTTTGTTTATTTTTACAAGCTTAAGTTTTGTTTGGCAGTATTTTTTTGTCATTCAGATTTATTTAATTCCATCAGCAGTTTTATTGGATTCTTGGGAAAATCTACTTTCACAAACAGTTCCGTATTGACAGAGTTGCAAGGAACATTCTCTTAACTTTTCAAGCTCGACTTGCGTGTATTTCGTAGAGGAGCATTTAACAAGCTTAAATCTATTTCATTTCATATCGCTGAACATGCAATTGCTTTTCCTGCAACAAAATTATATAAATTGCCTGCACAACAACTGACACACCTACACCGCTCAGCAGCATAAAAACCAATACAAATATATGAACAGCTGCATACTCTCGCACTTATTTATGTATGCAATGCATTCTCAATGGTAAATGCTTTTTTGCTTTCATTTTAAATAATTTACCTTAATCGATTTTGCTTGTCTTGTCTCGTTGGCGCTGGCATTAAATTATTATCGTGAGCGCATTGCCTGCTTGTATTTGTTATTGTTTTTGTTATTTTTTTTTTTACTACCTGCAGCAATTGCAGCTAATTGCACTTGCTTGCCGCTGCTGAATTTCATGTCAGTGCGCCGGAAAGTATGCATTAATTAATTCTGCTCCAATAATTATCAATGTCTCTGCCACAGTTCAACTCTTCACTCTGCTGTCTAGTGCAGCTGCAGTTCGACTTGATTTTTCTTTCACGGGAAATTCACTTTTATTCAGCAACTGTTTGAATAATGACCAAATGAGTGACTGGAAGATTGACTGAGCGATTGAGCGAATGAGCGAGCGGGTAATAGGGAATACAAATTTTGCTACTTCTAACCGTATGCTTTTAGTATACATATACACACATACAATCATACACATTTTTATCTATTTTTGTTTGCTTACACTTTTGTCCTTTCCGTGTGCACTCGATTGATTCGAAAGAGAAAAAAATCAGCATTTCATGGATGAGCTGTGGTTTTGCTTGGACTCTGCCGTTTATTTCTGCTGACAATGTTTCAAGTCTTTGCTTGCGTCGCTAAGTCACCTAAGCGTTGTGCACATATTACCTACATATATATGTATGTATGCCAATTCATATTTGCATTTCACAATTTTACATTGATTGTTACACTTACACTCACTGCCCCATATGTGCATGGCTTTAGAAGGTCACCTAAATGTCTGCTCTGCTCACTGACTAGCCTGACGATTTCAAGTTGATTGATTGGAAAATTTGTCCATAACTGCTAAAGAGTTCATGTGTAAATATGTCTGCGCATGTGTGTTTAGATTTTATTCTGTTTGTCATTCTATGGTTCATGTGGTAGGCGTTGGGTCCTTTGTTTAATATTAAATATTTAACCAATACACAGACAAGTGTAAATATGTATGTGTGTCCTTGTGCTTTTGTTTCTGCCCACTAAAGCGTATAAAGCAATTCTGTTTACACTTGACTAAATATGCAGGGATTTTCGGATATAAAATTAAATATGCCTTTAATGAGTATTTAAAATTGAGTTAAAGAAGATTTAATAAATGATAAGAAGGTTACTGAGTAAACCCTTGTTTTAAATATTCGGTTATTTTTGAAAAAGACTAAATATGTCCTGCCATCAAACAAGAGGTGGTTTCTACATTTCTTTTGACAGTCTTTACTTTGAATTTGTAGATAATTTCATCTATATTGGAACCAGGATCAACACCAACAACAATGTCAGAAGAATTACTGTAACCTGTGCTTCTTCGAACTGAATAAGCAATTAAAGACTAAATTTCCTTCTCGATGAACAAAACCAAAGCTCGTCTAATCATTTTCGTCCTGATATATTAAGCGGTGGGCAAGAGGATCACACATGTTGTCCGAGAGAGTAAGAATACTTCAACTTTGAAAGTATTCGATATAGTACCAGCCGAAACATACTTTTTACTTGTGAAATACTGAACAATATTCAGCAAAACAAAGTTTTCTATTCTGTGTTTTGGAAGGGTATGGTCTACTATTAGTTTCCTTCAAGTAGCAAATCTTAGGACTCAGCTGACTGATGTTATCACTTTTCAAAACTTACCGAGTAAATACAAAAACCAAAAAGGCACTTCAGGAGTCTATCTACAAAAAACAATTTTATCCATTACCAAAAGAATGGAACCATTACTCTCTCTTCTGACCAGCTGAAAATTAACCGAGCACAGTTTAACTTTCATTTCGCTCTTCAAAACAAATTGAATCAGAAAAGTTTTACATGGATTCGACTACTACAAATTGGGAACCGGCATCTATGACATGTGCTAGACTG